TGCCAATGGCTTGGCTGGAGACGCGTCAACGTCATCGAATGATTTGAGACTTGTCGATTTGGCACTCTCTCACACAGCTGGCACACGCGAACGTCATTATGAACGTGCTCAACGACCAGGCGATTCAAAGCGTGCACTTGGTCTCTTCGAGCAGGGCGCATTGAGACATCTAAGCATCTGAGTATGGAAAGAGAGGCAGAAAGAGAGAGAAAAAAGATTTTTAGAGTTTATATTTGATTGCTCTTAGTTGTAGACAGTAGAGAGAAAAGACTACAGTAGGAAAATAGAACATTTTTTGCTTTCTGCGGTTTCATCTTTTTGTCCACATTTTTGTTTGTAGTATTATTATTTATCTGTCGTCTTTTATTTCTTTATATTAGGCGCGTCGACTAGGAAAAGCAGCAGCAACATCACCGCAGCGAAAACTACACATTTCCATTGTTGATGACAGTGACATGACCTTCACGAACGAAATGATGAATCATCTCCTCGCCTACGGTCGAGATGAAGCACGAAAGAAGATCATTTTCAATTTTCGTCATTCAACATCATTCTTACAATGGCTAAACGAAGTAAAAAACGTCAACACACGTCCCACAATAGTCGATATTAATCTGTGGCAAGCCGAGACCAATGCGACATCAATTCTGTCCGCAGAATATATTGTTCTCGTCGCAAAACGAATCAAAAGCATCTCAGCGAAAATGTCCAGTCTACCGGCAAACTTAACAGTGTTCGAGAAATTGACAGTAAAAAAACAGCCGCCAAGAAAACGAAAGAAATGAACAAGACTTGAACAAACAGACACTTGGGATTAACTTTTTCATCTCTCGCCTCTCTCTACTCTTCTGAAATATTGTTTTGTGTACATTTTTTCTTATCTGTATTTACCTGTGGATATTTTCCATTTCCATTAAATGAAACTGCTGCTGCAGAAGACGATCTGCGAAAAAGAAACTTCAGTTCAACACCAACAATATTTTCTATGATTGTTCAAATTTTAAAAAGTTATAAAAAGTTGTTGTTTTTCGGAACATTTAGCAAATTCTGGCAGAAATTTGGTAGATGCCAAATCTGGCAAATTGTTGGCAAATTTGAGAAAGTTATAAAAAGGTGTTTTTTTCGGGAAAATTTGGCAAATTCTGGCAAAAAATTGGCATCAGCCAAATGTGGCCACTTTTCGGCAAATTTGAGAAATTTAGCAAAAATTTGGCAAATTTAGCAACAGTTTGCCAGATTTGCCAAATAGTTTGGCAATTCGATTAGAAATTAAGACTAGAAATTAGAAATTAGGACAACCATGTACATAATCCTTGATGATCTCTTTAGCCATTGAATATTTTTTGTCTGTCTTTCATATGCATTCTTTTCAGGCATTCTCTTATTTACATCATTGCAGAATGACGTTATGATCTGTCTCTTCTTTTATACATCCTCTTTGGCAAATTTGCTCGCCCTTGATTCCATTCGTATTTAAGCTTGCTTTTGTTCTTATTCACGAATTCATTTTCTATTGATGTAAAAAAGATACATTTATTATTTCTCTTTTACCAAGAAATAGAGCCACATCGAGATATTCACATAAAAATGTGAAAAAAATTATAACATAAATTCAGCTTTTCCTCTTCTAAATAATTCGACAAGAATAGACTCGTATTCAGCACGCATGCGATTGTATTGCTGATCAAAAGATCAGACTCGTATTCGTCATACATACGATTGTACTGCCAGTCAAAGGACCAGACTCGAATATACTTACGAGAAAGAATCTGATTGAATTGATGGCACCAGAGCAGCAAGAGCGAGAATCGAAGTCTTCAAAGACATAAAAGATAATGTATTTAATTGAAACAAAATATTACTTGCTTTTTGATTGAAACAGTAGTTTTTAAGTTATACTATATCGAAAATTTGCTAATAAGATGATTCAATCAAAATAGACACTGTAATATTCAAAACGTAGATCTATTGTAAAAAGAAATTTTTTTTGGCTCGCTCTCGTATACAGCTTAATATCTCTGCTTATCTTTTGAGTAAGTTTTTTTTTCTTTTATTGATGCTTATGAATA